AAAGTGGCTCTGAAGCTGAAGGCCTGTTTCTTGAATATACTTTGTAGAAAAGACTTGTCTATACCGAAGTGGGCTCATGATTTAAAAATACTGCCTGTGATATGAGCCGTGCTCTTATCTTCTTTTTCCTAATTGCTGAGATCTGGTCTTAGAGGTCTGGCGCTTGCCATGATTTCTGCCCTCGTAATGTTACCGAGAACCATTTCTTTTATATAATATAATTAGATTACTCATTGGGTTGAAGAAAGCTGTAATGTCCATTTAATAGTATTTTCTTTTAGATTTTCTCAATTATTTCAGCTGAATGCGTCAAATTGTCTACACAACATTTTCTTAGAGACACAGACTGAGAGACCTTTAAAAGCCCTATAACCTTCTGCCTTTTCTCTGCACACCCCACTGTCTGGCCACGGTGGACTTTCTAATCCATCCCCCTATAAATTACTCTGTCTGAGTCCTATCTGGCGTGACCTTCAAAGCCCCATTAAATACCATTTTCAAGGCAAACCACATACCCCCAGAGAAAGCTAATTTAGTGCCATCTTATGTTATAATAGTATTTTATTGTGCTCCGTGCATAACTTTTGAACTCAACGAAATTCCTAGGTGATTATGGAAAAGACTGTGAAGATACAAATGTGAGCAAAGCAAGACCCATTCGGAGGGGGAAGAGAACCACAGGGAAGGAGGCCGTCACCGAGCCTCAAAGGCGTTTTCCTCTGGGCTGGGGATGAGTCCCACACCCTGGACATGCTGAGGTGGGGCTGGCCGGCCGGGACCCAAGACAGCTGGACACAGAGAAGCCCAGCTGCCCGGCCTTGCCTATCAGCCCCGCAGCGCACATTTCGAGCTGACACACCCGCGGTTCCCTCAGACTTTAGCCCAGGAATGCACATTTGAGGATGAGGCTGTCGCTTCCTGCGACCCTGCCTGTGGTTCCCCTGGCGCGTCACCTCCTCCTCCAGCCAGGTGGCCAGGGCAGGGAGCCACCGCCCAGGACACTGCCCCTGCCCCCCACGGGCTGGACACTGGGGGTGGTAGAGCTTCAGGGCAGCCCCACGCTGTGCTGTGGGAGCAGAGGCCGGCGTGGCTGTTGGGAAAACCCCGCGCGTGCAGGGCTAGCCGGACAGCAGGGGATTGCCTGCTGGACACCCGGGAGGCAGCCTCGCGGGCTCGCTGGCCTGACAGCCGCCGCTGCCCACTGGGAAGGCCCAGCCAGGGGGATCGCGCAGGGGCACAGCTGCCCACGCGATGCCGCAGCCACGACCCTTGCCACCGTGACCCGGGAGGCTGTGGGCGGCAGCTGGGAGGCAGGGGGTGGAGAAAGCAAGGACAGGTCACAGCCCTGGAGTCAGCCTGCGCTGAGACGGGGGGAGAGGAGCAGGGGATCGGCTGGACCTCCGTCTCCTGAATGGAGGAATGTGTATTTGCTTGCGTGGCCACAGGCAGGGGTGACAGTCTCCGCCTGGGTCACGAGACTGTCCTGCCAGGCCAGATGGCAGCGCTCCCAGCAGTTGGGACGTGGAACCCTCGGCACAGCCTGGGCCACCAGGCCGCGTGTTTCCTGCCCCTTCCCGCCGTGCCCCCAGCGCCCAGGCAAAGGCTGCAGGTGGGCGCAGTCACCAGTCCTCTTAGGGATGAGGCCTGGCCGCCAGGAAAGCCGCATGGAGAGAGGTCAGCCCAGAGGCTGGCGGGGGGCATATTTGGGGGAAATGCACACTCTGCTCTGAGCACCGCACCCCAAAAGGTTCTCTTGAGCCCAAGCCACGCGGGCTGGAGGAGAGCTCCATGGCGCAGGGCCAGGCCGTGCCTCCTCCCCGAGACCCCGCACCAGCTGCTGCTCATCCAGCGCGATGCCACTCACCGCATCAGCGGCTGTCCAGGAACCTGGAACCCTTCCTCGGGGTGAACGATCAGCTCAGTCACAATTAAGATGGTTTAAATCTCCATTTAATACAGTAATGAGGCATTTACCGCCCCTGGACCGCCCACCCCCCATGACAAAGACAACAGTAATACTAGCCCGGCCGCGGGCCTGACCTGCACCACCGCGTTTGCTACCACGACCCTGAGGAGCAGAATGCGGTTATCTCCGTCTTATCTTAGGTGAGAAAACATTTTTGAACAAAGTCTAACTCATACCTGTTTCCGCTGGTGGCCAGAGGCAGAGCAAAGCTAACAGATCAGCCAGCCCTCCCCAGTTACAAGCTGCGCAGTTATCTCGACTCCCCTTTTCCTTTGTCTTCCAGCGATGAGCGTCATAACTACGGACCGCGTAGAATATCAGAGTTCGATTAAATAAATTAAGTGCTGTATCTCTTCTTCCATAGCTTCCCATTTCTACCAGGGTATATTCCAGATTCAAATCCTTAATATGAGCCCCTCTTTGCGAGTCGACTTTTTAAATGGCAGAGACGTTTCTATCATCCTACCCCAAATCCACACACTGGTTGGATGACACCATTTCCAAGGTTACACGCAAGGTTGTGTGTGTAGGTCTAGATCTACAAATATTTCTACCTGTCTGTCTAGCTCTCCACCTGAAACTTGCAACAAACTGTACTATACACATAATGAATGAAAAGTACATATTAAGATAAAATACCTATTTATTCACTATTCTGACATCCTAACAATCAGCTCAAACAGAACCAATTAAACCTGTGTTTGTTGACTGCTAAGACTGTTCTGTCACTGGAAACTTCAAAGAAGAATTAGCTTTTCTTGGCATTTGGGAAAGGAGTATTTTTAAGGTAAAAATGCTTTACGAAAGCTGCTTTGGGATTTGGAATATTCTAATAAATAAGAGATTTTTAAAGGGCCCTAAACGCTTGAACTCACGGGCCCAAGTAGGAGACTCTTTTCTTTTGCAAGCAGCTGTGTTTCCTTGGCCCATCAGAGCCGGGTCATCTTCTGAAACAGAGAACACCGAGGTAAGGGAGGCCGAGTGTGTGGGCTGAGACGCTCAGGACAGGTGTGTCCTCTAACCTGGGCCCCCTGACGGACAGGCGTGGACTTCAGCATGTGGGCCCAGCACGGCCTCCAGCCCCAGCATCCCTCGGCTCCAGAATGAGAGGCAGGCAGCATTTCCATGCTCTTCCTCTTGTGTTCTACGAGGGTCTCATGGAGCGAAGCCTGTCATGTACACAGAACCCCCACAACCTCATACAGGCGCTGCAGGACTGAGGACCTGAAGCAGCAGGTGAGGGTGACGTCTCTCTAACACTGAACCAATTCAGCTTGAAAAGAAGGTGTTTGCTTAAATGCTTTTTAATAGCGTGAGATGTATACTATAAAAAGTTTAAAAGGATTATTCATCCCAAAGGGATTATTTACTTTCAGAATGAATTTTTATAGAGAGGCTCTGAAGGAGACCATGATCTTCACCTTTGTTTAAACACAATGGACACTAAGCAAAGTCTTCACCCCAGCGAGCGCGCTGAGCGCGAGACCTGACCGGCCGCCGCTGCTCCTAATGAGGGGCCACCTGCACGCGGGGCACAGAGGGCACAGAGGGCACACACGGCGTGGAGGGGGCCGCTTTCAAGAATGCCGGAAAACACAACCAGGCAATGTTCAATTTGAAATCCACACTACTGAGAAAGTAGCAGGAAACGTGTAAGAGGCAAACCACAAAAGCAGGGAAGTTGGATTTTCTGTGACGGAGTCTTTCCCAACACATTTAGGCTATTTTAGCTTTCATTTTCTTGGCTGCTCAGTTTTATATGGAAACAATTTTAACACCTTTTTTATGGTTATTTGCACCTAAGGCAGTTAGTTGACCCACTTGGGATTCTCTCTCTCTCTCTCTTTTATAAAATTAGACCTAATATTGTTTAGGAGGGAAAAAAAAAACCTTCTGATTGTTTATTCTAATTACTATCACCTTTGCTTAAGTAAGAAGCCACGAGTCACATTTTCTGCCCGTTCTAGAATGGTGGTAGCACATGGGCGCAGTTAATTCACAATCCTCTACACACATGTGTCTCTGACCTTGGTCTTGTGGACAGGAGCATAGAAAGGAAACAAAAGGAATATTCCCTTTTAACCTTTCAACAAAGATATATGTAGAACTAGTCCCACACGTTGTTCTAGGTGTTGAAGACAACAGCGAAACATAAAATAGAATTCCAGTATCGGATCACTTAAGTTCTAAGTGTATTATTGTTATGGGGTTAGCTATAATTGACTGTAAAGACATTGCAATTTGTCTTTTCCCCTCCCCATATGTGCAGTGTATACTCCAAGCCCCATTCTCTATTGTTTTCACATTGTTCTCATCCTTATTGACTTCATATGTGTGCCTAAGCTAGTGCCTTAAGCTTTCTTAATATACAGTTTTATAGCGACATAAAAGTTTAGTCAATACAAATTTTACCAACACAATGAAAGATTACAACAAATCCCTTTATTATTCTTCTAGGTGATAGGGATGATACACTGGAATTCATATTTCACTAAAACCATTACCTTCCTCTAGGTAGTCATTAGAGACATGTTACTGGAGTTTCTGCATTCTAACAACAGACACATTAAGGAAGCAAGCCGAAGGGTCTGTGTTTTGCACACAGATTTCCAGAAGGTAGTCGGCTGAATTAAACTACGTCTCTGCAAAGTGTAGCAAGGTTAGATCGTGGAGGGCTCCACGAGGCCTCTGAGGCAGTGCGCTATAATTGAAGGTGACTAATCTAAAAAAAGTGAACTAATCTCTCTTGAGTTTCATGGGATTGCTGTAGTGTGTATAGGAGCGCTGCAATTTTATGATAATTTGAAGGAGGGTGCAAGAATCAGTAGGAAATTGAAGCATGTGGACACCTATCTATGGGAAAGCAAGGAGAAAGAATCTCAAAGCAAGTGAAGTAATTATAGAAAAGGAAATCATCTTATGATGTCTAGTAAATGAATCAGAAAAGTTATAGGGAAGCCAGCACCATGGTTAATTCAATTCCCTTTCCAAGTGCTCAGCGCAGGCCAACGTGAGCCCAGGGTCTGGTTCTCACCTGCTTCGTTGGTGCGGATGAGGCGTGAGGGGGTGCTGGGGTCGCCGGTCCCGATCGGGTTGGTGGCCACCACCCTGAACTCGTATTCCACCCAGGGGTTCAGCTCCACGGCCATGGCTGACTCCATGTCCCCGGTTATGACTTCTGGGACTAGGGAGAGAAAGGAGATATAGCACATCATCGGGAGGACCGGAAAGCGGTCCCCAAGGGGAGTCAGGATGTCCAGGAGGCTGAAGCTCACTTCCTCATACAGCATCATCGTGGTGTCACCTCCAGGCTCATCTGTAAGATCCACGTCCACCTACAGGAAGCAGGCATTTGCACATGGCTTAGTCTGTTGTAGCTACTTGGCATTTTTCATGTCCTTTTAAGACATAATTGCCATAATTTGCCATTAGCTACACTAAAAAGCACTTTGTCAGCCCTCAGCCTCAGATAAGAAACCAATAAATGATCTCATTGAAGCAAATAGTTCTTCAATTTCTAGGGAAGTTTGCATCCCCATTCTGGCAAACATGCTTAGCCCCTTGGCCATTCCAAATAGCAGCTGTAGCATGCGTACCTCTAATTTAAAGACCTAGTTTCAAAGGTGCAAACATCCATGGATAAAACAAATAAGTCATGGGGATAAAATGTCTAGTGGTGACTGTTTATAAGGCTGTATTACATATTCGAAAGCTGCTGAGAGAGCAGATCTCAAAATTCTCGCAAGAAAAGATTTTTTTCTTTTGTAATTTATTACTAAAACCTACTTGATCTAACTCTGACACCGTTAATCATTCCCTTCACTTTGAAATCCTTTGCAGAAGGTAACTTCTGCTTTCCTCCTGCCTGACTATCCTGTCCAGCCTCCACGGCTGGCTTCCTTTCATCACCCAGGTTATCTCAGTTTCTGCTGATTCCTTCCTGTGTTCCTACGCCACGGTTCTTTACCCACTTTCAAGGTTTTCCATATCCTTTATATGCTGGTGCTGCTAAAATTTTTAGACACAACTCTGTTTCCTAGATTCCAGACTCATCTGTTCAATGGCCTGGTATCAGCGTCTCAATCTTAAATTCCCCAAACTACTTCTGCAGTGCTTAACAGCCAGTGAATGACAGCTGCATTCTTACAGATGTTGCAGCCCAAATCTTGGATTCAACTTGAATTCCTTTCTCCTCTGTCTCACTCCAGTCTACAAACCACGTTATGACATCTCCGACTTCAGAGTACTATGTTTTTACCACTTCCCCTTTGTAGTACAACTTCTTAAAAGAATTGTCTATTTTAACTTTTCTCCCTCCCTCTCTCAAGCCCTTGTGTCAGGCTTCTGCCCACTCTTTTACTCCAACTGCCACTTTCAAGGTCCACCATGACCCACTCTCTTACGTGACACTTCAGCAGCACTTCCCACTGGTAATTCTCTTTCGTAATATACTTTATCCTTTTGTCTTCCAGGATTTCACATGGTTGAGGTTTTCCCTTTCACCAAAATGGTTGCTTTTTCTCTGTGTCCTTTGGATGATTCCTCTTCTCTACAACTCTTTATGTTGGAAGGCTCCAGGGCTATATTTTTATACTCTTGCCTTCTTTAGACATATCTCCTTGGAGATGACAAGCAGTTTCATGACTTTGAAAGAATTTATAAGTCAACAGTTTCTTAATTTACATCTCTATCCGAAACCTCTTTTAAACTCTAGACCCTTCTGTCCAGCTACTTGACATCACCATTGGGATGTCTAATATATGCATCTAACAGAATATGCCCCGTACTGACCTCCTCATCTCTCTCTCAACCCATATCGATTCCAACCATGTAGGCTTCTCTGTGTCAGTAGAAAGTAACATTATCCTTGGAGTTGATCAGGTCAACATTCTTGTAGTCATTCTTGAATTACTTTTCTCTTACCCGCCTCAATGCATTTTTCAGGAAATCCTGCAGACTCTTTCTTCCAAATATTTCCAAACCCTCACTATTTCTACCACTGCCATTTCTGTCATTCTGAAATGCCATTGTCTCTCCATTATAATAGCTCCCTAACCAGTTTATGTGATTCCCCCATAGTCTATTTGCAATATAACTTCAATGAATATATTAAATGATAAATCTCAGAACCAACCCTCCAGTGTCTCTCCATTGCTCTCTGGCTGGAAGCCTAAATCTAATATGACTTGGTCCAGCCAACCTCTCTCCAGACTCATCTCCTACTGTGCTCCCTAAAGCTCATGCTGCTCCTGCCCACATGGTCTCCTCAGCTCCTGCTTCAAATGCTCCCAATGCCTTTAGACCTTGTCGGTCCTCCAGCTCCTGGAAGTGCAAAATCCACATTTCCCCCACGTGTTCACTCAGATGTGCGCTCTCAATGAAGCTTGTCCTGACCTCTTGCTTTGAAATGCCACCAGCCTGTTATGGACTGACCTGTGTGCCCGCTAAATGCATGTGTTGAAGCCACATCGTCCGTGTGTGACTGGATGTGGAGGTGGGTCTCTGAGGAAGTAATTAAGGTCGAATGAAGTCACAAGGGCAAGGCCATAATGTGGTGGGATTAGTGTTTGTAAAAGAAGAGACACCAGACAGCTGACTCTCTCTCCCCACCAGAAGGCTTTGGTCTGCGATGGTGGAGGACTGCTCTAACCAGGAATCAAATCTGCTGGCTCCCGGATGCGATATTCCTAGTTGCCAGAATTGTCAAAAAATAACATTTTTATTGTTTCGACCACCAAGTGTGTGGTATTTTGTTATAGCAACCCAACCTGACTAATACACTGCCCCTACCATTGCGCTCTGATATCCTTACAAATTATTTTTATTCTCCATTCATTAAATTCTATCAGAGAATTTAATAGATGTTTATTATGGTCTCTGTAATTTGTCCTAATCCATGAGCTAATAACCTATACGAGGGTAAGGGGCTCGGTCTGGTTTGTTCACTGATCTATCCCAGGTGCCTAGAACACTACCTGGAAGGTGTTCTATCAACTTCTATTGAATAAATGAAAGTAACGTAAGTTCAAATTACCAGCTGTGATCAGAGCTGGCATGGTTAACTTCTGTTTTCATCTTGATGCAATTACTTCAGGCTTTATGTTAAAAAAGAAAAGTTCTGGGGCCTCCCCGGTGGCACAAGGGGTTAAGATGCAACCTATGAAGCTATCTGCAGCCTCTGCAGCATGAGTTCAATCCCCTGCCAGGGAGCTACCCACATGGCGCAGCAGACCTCTCCTGTCTCCCCACTGCTCCCCTCGGCAGTGGATTTCAGTAGATCTGCCTGTTCTGCTCCCCACTCTGTCTCTGGTGGACCCTCTCACCCCCCACACCTCTGGCCTGCACCCCAGCTCTTGTATGCATAAATAAATATTTAAAAAATAAAAAGGAAAAAAGGATTTATAAATTCCAGATTCACTGATAAACTTAAAAGGGCTGCAAAATAATTGTAAAGGCATGAGTTGAAAGTATTAACACTTTTGAAAACATGTAAGGTGAAAAAATTAAAAATAAGAAATAAGGGATTGAATCTATGCAATTAATCTTCTTCAGAACTCTTGGTTCATCTACCCTCTTGCATATTTTTTTATGTAGTTTTTGAATTTGGACCAGTGGGATGTTACTTTAGATCCTTTGCTTTTATACATTGGCTATTATTTTCAGACTGGTATGGGTTATTCATAGTCCCCCGTATGCACTCTTCTCTATTAACGTAAAGATAAAATATATTCAGGAAACAAAACAAACAAAACCTGAACTCTCTTTGAATTCATGTTGGTACGTCAAGGAATTTTAAGCTTTTTATATCACTAGCTTATGAACTACATTGCCTTTATCAGAGAGCTTAAACTATAAGCCCATCTTTTCTTTTTCCTAATAAATATTTCTGCATTAGAACTATTTCAGAATTGACTTAGATGAGGAATCAGGGATCTCTTTTATACCACAGATTCAAAAGAAGTTGAGATCAGATTGCACCCGGGGCTGAAACCAGGCAGCTACTTTAAGAGCAAACAAAGGTGACTTTGTCCTTGGGAGGCCGCCAGCCTCCACCAGCAGGTGCTCGAAGTGCTGAGATTTGGAGAAATGAGGGACCTCCGCAGGTGAGGCGATCTCTTGCTAGAGTCCTGTTACTATCAAGGGTGAGTGCAGAAATGTATTTTTGAAAAATCCCTGATTCCTTATATACAGTACAACAAAGAGACTTTTTAAAAAATAATCACCGTACTTGCTGAACTGAATTAAACAAGAATGTGCAGCTTAAAAATGTTTCAGGCATTCAAATTATATTAGAAAGTTCAAATTGCAACTTCATAGCAGAGACTTTTAAAACATAAACAAACCCCAAAAATAACATTTAGTGTAAATGCCTAGGCCCTCTCTGTTATATATACACACCAACACACACATGGTTTTCAATTTTTCCTAATTAAAAATCTATCTGTGTATATATGCTTATATATTACCTACCTACCTGCCTACCTGCCACCTATCTCTTCATCTGCCTACTCACCTGTGTATTCAATCTCTCTATTCCACCCCCCCCCTCCAGAAGTAGAAAGAGATGGACCAAGGTAGATGCAGACCAGGAGTAACTGGCAGTGGGTAGAGTAGGTTTAGGGCTAGATGTCCTTTCCTGAATTATCCATGGAACTTAGGGGTTCCTCAATTTCTTGGGTTGCAGAGGTATCGCAAGGTTAAAACAGTCAGGCATGAGGGTAATGCTTACAATTTCTGGTTAAAATAAATATGCACCATACGCAGCACAGTGCCATGGTAATCAAATTGAATTCTACAAATGAATGTAGGATCCTAAATGTCAAGAAAAACCTGAATATTTTGGATAGAGGTGAATATATTTCCTTCCTCTAAACTGTAAACTTCATACAACAGTAAGTTTCTACTCATATTTAATTTCTTAAGCAATAAAATGGGCACTTCAGCCTTGTAACCGTGTAATTATTTGAGTTTTATGAGTTACTGTGCTCAGTTTACACTTCACTTCTAAATAGGTAAATCAAATTTATATTTAGACAGACAATAAAACAAAAGCACAAATTCCTGCTAAGTATAGACAACGGCTCTGAAGACCACGTTTTATAAACATATTGTGCACATTTTAAATACCAGCATGTCAAATAAGTAACTACTAACTATCAAGTAACTATAATTTCACCAGCCGTGCACACAGCCATACTTGGAGAGACAGAAGGTTTAGTTAAAACATGAAAAGAAAACCATCAGGAAAGAAAACAGTTTTCAAAATAACACAATGCTAATACAGATATCTTAATGATGGATATTAACTGCCACATTATTTTAAAAAATAAAACCTACTGCCACATTATTTTTAAAAAATAATAAAATTTTATCTTAGATTTCTTTGTATAGATAACACAGGTAAACACAAAGAAAAGGCAACACAAAGAACTGGGTAGTGAACTGGAATAGTGTCTGATAATCTTGGTGATTACTTGAATTTAAGTAATAAATTTCATAGAATTTTATTGCACTGGGCCTCCCTGGTGGCAGAAGGAGTTAAGTTGCAGCACTGTGAAGCTATCTGCAGCCACTGCAGCACACCACGAGTTCGATCCCTGGCCAGGGAGCTACCCACATGGCGCAACGGACCTCTCCTGTCTCCCTGCTGCTCCCCTCAAAAGGGTATTTCAGTGGATCCGCCTGTTCTACTCCCCACTCTGTCTCTGGGGAATCCCCTCACCCCCACATGTCTGGCCTGCACCCCAGTTCTTGTATGCACAAATAAAAAAAAGAATGTTCTTGCACTGTATACTAACAAAGTGCGTATCAGACTGGTGAACTCTGAAGTTTAGTCAATAATATTATGCCAGTGCAAGAGCTCTGATTTGATAATCGTACCATTATTACGTAACATGTTATCACTGGGGGAAGCTGAGGGCTGAGACAGAAATCTTGGTACTATTCTGGCAGCCTCTATGTGAATTTGAAGTTATTTCCACAAGCAACAGCAAGCAAGCAAGCAAAAATAATGTGGTCCCTCCTTAGGGAAATAGAAAGAAAGCTAGGGAGCAGGCTCTTGGGTTTTGAAAAAAGAAGCAAACGATATTTAACATACCCCAGTGGTGAAACCTAACAAAGTTTCCAGAATCCAGAATGACCCCAGTGCCACAGCCAGCGCACACCGCCTGTGCCTGTGCCTGAGGTGGCTCCGAGCCCCTCACCTGTTCTGACCGTCTGCCAGCCCAGCGAGAAGGGGCTGCGGGCCTGCAGGTTGTAGGAGGACACTGGGCTGTGGTTATCGGCTGCAGGGCCCCAGGAGAGCGTGGCCGTGCTGTCTGTGATCTCCTCGACGATCACGATCCCTGGCGGGCCCGGGGGACCTAGAGGCAAGAGCGGGGAGATAAACTTAAGTACAAGTGATGAGGAGAAGCGACGAGAAATTCTATTTCCAATAAGGACCTAATCAAAGTATGTAATTGTCTTAATGAAATACATATTTAGTAATGAAAATTGACCGTAAAAAGTCAAGGGACGCAAGTTGATTTTCATGATTTCTGGGGGGTAACTTAATTATAAATTTGATTTCCCCCCCCCCAACATCCTGTGCTTGGAGGCAGTGACCAATTAGCACTCTATTCTACAGGAAAAGAAGAAACAATTAGAAGCACACGAGGATATTAATGTCAATATCAGCTATGGCTGTGGAAATCAATCATCGCTTCCAGAGGCAGGAACAGGGGCAGAGGCTCTGCAGTGGGAACGAAACCAGCCCCGTCCTTACTGGAAGTGACAGGTGTAGAGCATTTTACTGTCGTCCTCGCGCTGGGGAAATCGACGATGTGTCAGCACAGTGATAAGACGATCAAACCGCCTACGCTCCAAAGCGGGACACGGAAGCTCAACATAATAATAGTTCAGGCCAACGAATGGTGTGTATGAGACATGGGAATATTTCATGGGGAATTAAAAGCAAGACGTAATTAAATTCTTTTTTTTTCCCCAGTGGGAGCAGGAGGGAGGCGAACAGAGGTGTCTGTTCCCTTTGGGTCATGAAGGTGGGTATAAGAACATCTGCGTGTTGCAGGCTCCAGATTCAAGAAACAGTCATATCCTGGTCAGAGGAGAAATCTACTCTGTGTCATTACTTCTAAAACAGTGATTTCTTAAGAGTCCTTCAAAGTACGCAGAATTGTGCACATTTCAGTGGCTCGCAAGAAACGCCAGTTTTCTCACTGGCTTTTTTTCTGTCCTCTAGTGTGGACAACTCACGCTGCAAAGATGCTTTTATGTTAAATGAAAAAAAAAAAAACAAACCACAAACCCACACCCTGGAGTGCTCTCAGGTGCCATTTGCTAAGCTCGCTGCGAGGCGGCGGTTGCCCTGTGGGCCGGGAGATCCCGAAGCCTGAGCCAAGGGCCGCCCTGGTCCTGAGACACAAGACGCGGCGGGGTCTGCGCAGTCACAAAGGCCCCTGCCTACAGAACCCCGAGCAGGAAGGGGCCACGAGATGGAGAAAAGAAAAAAGCTTGTGGAGCCAACGCCATTTGTAGGACACGAGAAAGGAGCCTTTCACGAGGCCCGAGGACAGCCAGAGGTGGTCGGTGGAGACGCAGGTTTAGGAGACAGTGGGGAGTCTGTCAGGACAGTGGCCCGGGTGGGGACGTGGGTTCAGCCTCGTGGGAAGCGCCGGCAGCTTCATCTCTAAGGGGAAGGAAGAAACAAAGCGAAGAGAGTTTCTGAAATGCACGAAGGAAGGTTGAGACGAGCTCCTTCTGGAAGCTTCTCCTTGTCTCACTGAAGAGGGAAAACATCTGTGCTTGATCTTAGCTAAAAGGTGAAGAAGTGATGAAAAATCTACAAAAAGTGCAGGTTCTTGGATGAGGCGGGCCTGGGGGCTGGAGAGAAGCGGGGAGGCTCCGGAGCAGCACAGCGCACAAGAGCAAAGCCGAGAAGAAAGGAAAGAGCAGATGTGCTGCAAGAGCCCGGAGCTCCAGCCGGTGGACGCGTCATTTTGAATCGGAACCTACCGGCTCGGCAAGGTCCGAGGAACAGGCCTAGGGCCAGCGGGGGCCGTGAGGAGGGTCTGGCCAGGTTGGGAGTTGGCGTCCCCGGCGTGGGCCAGGGGCATGGGGTGTCACGGCTTTGGGGGAGAAGCAGGGGTCAGCGAAGCCAGCATGGTGCTGGCTGACTAGACTCCAAGCAAATCCTCAAGGAAACTGGGTTACTGTGAGGGAAGACAGCGGACTAGGACCCCGTGGGGTGGGGGTACAGAGTTTGTGATGTGAGTATAAGATGCTTTTGAGGGAGAATTTGTGTTTATCGGGAGAGGAGCGGAGGTATGATTATTGGCGTTGATGAGATCAGGGCCCGTGGGGAGTAGGTCTGCTGCACCGTCTGCAGGATGTTCAAAGCATTTGAATAGTGGGTATTGCCAGGTGAAGAGAACGGATGATGTCCCGGTGCTGAGAGGATTCCTCACAAGCGTGAGACTGTTGTGACAGGGGTATGGGACATAATGATAAAAAATATTAACAACAACAATAATAATAACAACAGCAATCCTATCCTCACCGAATGAAGGCCCTGCACCCAGCATTTTGCAAATATCAATTTGTTCCTTCATTGCTACGTCACTGTGAGGCGCGTCATAGGATCCCAATGTTATAGAGGGACTGACACTTCTAAGAGCTTGTTCAGTAAAAACAATCAAACACTTTCACGAGTAATCTCATTATTTGTTGGGTGTGGAGCTAGGCAGTGGGTATCAGAGAGACCATCTCAGGGAGAAGCGATCTGCCCAAGTTACTCTAATGACCTTGCCTGAGATTTGAATTCGCCTGAGGAAAGGCTGCTGTGCCCGGGGAAGCCAGGCATGCAGCTCCGTCTTTCATCACTGCCTGGGAAGGCAAGAAAGCAAGTGTGTGCCGGGAAAAGGCAATTCACTCGTGGGGTAGCGACGGGGATGGGGCTGGAGAAAGTGCGGGGACCTCGGCTTCCCCATACCTGGCAGCCGCGTGCCCTCCCGTGCCCAGGGACTCGCCCTCCTGGAATCGGGCTGGGCTGTGACACGCCGTGGGCTGGAGGGAAGGCTCATCCCAGGTCTCCGAAGGGGCACACAGGAAGAGCCAGCTCCCAGCCAGAAGTCTGAGGAGGCTGAGGCTGCTTTTCTCCAAGCCCTTTGGAGATGGGGGATCCCACACAACCGCCCCCCCAACACTCCAGTCAACCCAGTGCAGCCCCTGACAGGTGAGTGATAAAGCCTTCAAATGACTCCCCTTCAGGCCTCGGGGGGCTCAGGTGTGGGGGAGCAGCCATGACAGGACCAGGCTGGGCCAAAACTGTGGGAACAAACAGCAGTCGGATGTTGAAAGCCGCTGAGTTTTGGGGGCAGCCGTGGGTAAAGGGAGAAACTCAGAATAGCTTGGGCTTGCCACAGACAGGGACTATGTCGGGGGCCCTACAAGATGCTGTGAAGATACAGAGGAAATTCAGCCACTGTGCCCGAAGGGGATACCTGTCAAGACAGTCATTGATGAAGCTCTTTACACTGTTCCACGTAATCCAATCTGCTCATTTATCTCTTCAAAAGCCTCTAGTAACACCTCTGTGTGAGGCCTCATGGGAGACACTGAGGAAAGCAACTATTCATTCAACCAAAACTATTTGCCTTTCTGTGTATTTTTCTATGGAAATGCTTAAATTATAAAGAGAGGTCTATTTCTTTTAATAATAGGTAATGATTATTCTAGATTTTTTTTAACCAAGACTTCATCTGGAGCCAAAAATGGAAAACAATACAATGAACAAAACCCCAAGTATTTCCCCCTATATGTAACTATTTTCTCAGATTTAGTCATTAGCAAAATAATCAGTGACAGAAAAAAAAAATTATGTACCCGGGATTCTGATTGTTACTCTGCAATTATTTATAATTACAAACCACTGTAAATAACTAATTGTCCAATAATCATGTAATGTTTAAAGCATAAAATCTTATGATAAACTATTAGGCAGACACTAAACAGCTTAATATTTAACACTAATAAATGAATGTTTCTACAAGAGATGAAAGAAGAGGAATGCAAAATTATATAAAGATAAATATACAAGTAATAATTTGCCAAATATGCAAAGACAAGGCTGGAAAGAAATGCATTCATGTGTCCGTGGTGGTTACTGCTTAGAAGTATGGATGTAATTTAAATCTTTTTCTTTAGTCCTGGTTGGGTTTTCCAGTTTTGTATCATAACTATTTCTTCTACAATTATTTTTAAATGCCATATTGTAAAGAGAGTGTCCATACTGTGACAGGTATGTACTCTTCTAAGTCTATTCTGTTTAAACATTTCCCGGATGCCTAGTGTGCACAAAGCACTGGTCTGAGTGGTGGGAGATGGGGCGGGGGGTGAGTTCTAGGACAAGGCTGGGTTCCAGTCCCCATTGTGGCACAGACAGAGCTTTCACACAAACAAATGCCAGTCCCTGATCATGTGATGCTCAAGGGCTTTAGGAGTCTATTTTACATCCCAGTAGAAGACTTGTGACTTTGGGTATAATTACTTTTCTGTAATTTCCATTTGTCTGAATACCTAAAATGATGCTTGGCATCTATCTATCTATCTATCTATCTATCTATCTATCTATCTATCTATCTATCTGTCTGTCTGTCTGTCTGTCTGTCTGTCTGTCTGTCTGTCTATCTGTCTATCTAAAACAAATATTTACTTTAAAGGTGAAAGGAAGAAGGCTGAAGACAGCAGGGAGGAGGGTGAAGGATGGAAGGAGATAAGTTTTGAGTCTGGAACGTTATATAACAAATGAAAGAATGTTCCAAAATAAGGTCATTATATGCGACAAGATCCAATATGATAGCCTCTTATTTTTTATTAAATCAAAATACATTTGAATTAGCAGGGCCTTTCACTTAAGCTTGGAGTGGGATGATAACAGAAATGACAGAAGAGCTTCATGATGAAGAAAATAAACCTTTCATGTGATTGAATAACAAAGCTCCTCATTATCAGAAACAGAGCATTAAAACCTACAGACAGATGATTTTTCTAAGTCTCTGTGTCAAAGATTTATGATGAGAATGCTATTGTAAAAATATTCTAAAATTAATGATGTGATTTATCTTTTTAAGTCAGATTAAATACAACCCTCAACACAATAAAAGTGAACGCATGATTTATGGCTATTATATTATTACTGGTTTATCAATGCTTTATCTATGGAGAAAAAATATTTTTAGACATTACACCCTGAGTGTTGGCTTCAGTTTTCTTTCTGTTTATATTGAGGAGTGAATTAGTAAGTCTATTAATTGAATCACTCTATTGCTTTTAAGTCCTGTTAACTAACGATGGCTGTATTGTTGCC